CACAAAAAGTTTTAAGAAACAGTTTACCCTAGCCTCCCCTACCACGCACAGCACGTTTTTCCTATTCTGTTTTTTGAGTTTTACAATGTGTGTGCGTGTGTGTGTATGCGTGCATATGTTGCTGAGGACTCAACGCAGGGTCTCACACATGCTAAGCCTGTGCCTGACGCGGATCCCCACCCCCAGTCCTCGCCTGGTTTGTTGGTTGGTTTGTTGGTTTTGTTTTAAAACAGGGTCTCTCTATGCAGCTCAGGCTGGCCTTGAACTCATTATGTAGCCCAGGCTGGCTTCGAACTCGCAGCCGTGCTCCTGCCTCAGCCTCCGATGCGAGGATCACAGCTGTGTGCCACCACACCCGGCTCCCTACCTTCTGTTTCACCTGTCCCTGACTCCCAGTGGGGCTGGACTTGGATAGTGGTTGGGCCGCGTTAGTACCGATCACAAGAGATGACCAAGTGTGCTCAGCAGTAGCCTGGCTCTGGAGGGTGGAGAAAAGCGATGTGGCGCCCTGGGTTTCCCAGCCTCGTGGCTGCCGTTTCCACAGGATGGGGAGGGAGCCCCGTGGTCTGCACAGGGGTGGGTGGCTCCCTGAGTGGCCGAGTGTCATCAGACAGGAGATGAGATGGCACATTTTCATGGAAACCACAGAGAAGACGTGGGAGGAGCTGGGCGTGGGAGGCCGAGGCAGGAGCATCACAAGTTGGAGCCCCGACCTGAGCCACTCAGGGAACGAGACACTGTTTCAAAATAAAAAATAAAGGGGGCTGGGCCAGGGGGTCAAATGTGCAGGTCCTGCCTTCGGTCTCTAGGGCCATGGCAAAGAGTGGGGGTGGGGAGGCGGGAGGATCGCTGTAACTTCAGGGCCTATGTAGGCTGCATAGTGAGTTCAAGGCCAGCCTGGACTGCGTAGCAAGATCCTGTCTCAAAAAAACAACGCAAAAATATGACTCTGTGTCCAGGAACCTGTCAGGAAGAGCCAGGATTTCAGACTAGCGCGCGTCACCATCGCCTGAGACAGGAGCCCCTCATCTCTGCAGGCCTCGGGTTGCAAAGCAGAATCACCATTTTGTATCTGTGCAAGAGGAACACGCTTCACCAGGCACTGACAACTGTTCTCAGGGCTGTTTCGCCGAAATCTCTCTCTGCTACGTACCAAGAATCTGCGTCACGGAGCCTTTCGGCGTTAAGGGCGCAGCCAACTTGAAGATCCACACGGGAAGCATCCGCTGGCTTAGACTCAGCACTTCCTGCTGCAGACAGCTGCTTTTTCTCCTTTTCGGTTTTTTTCTTTCACCTTTTCTTCTCCTCCCTCTTTTTTGAACCCTTCCTTTGGCGCCGGATGATACAGTCATTGGTGTGGCCTGCACCGCGCTTCCAGCAGTTACAGAATTGGCTTGCAGTGGAGTTTTCTGAATTTCTGCGTGAATCAGCTCCTGTGTCAGTTCTTCAATTACTTCCTTCCTCGAAGTGTTTTCTCTCAATGTTGCCTGCAAAATTGCTCTGTCTTTCAGAAGAGCAACTTGTTGGTCAGTAAAGTCAGGGTCTTGCTATATTGCCCAGGCTGGCCTCAAACTTCTGGGCTCAGTTGATTCTCCTGCCTCAGCCTCCAGAGTCACTGGGGACTGTAAGCAGGCTCCACCGTGCCTGGCTTACTTTTTGTCCATACGATTCTAGGTACTTCTTTTTTTTTTTTTTTTTTTGGAACTGGGAATCGAACTCAGGACCTTGCGCTTGCCAGGCAGGCACTTGTGCCACTGAGCTGTATCCCCAGCCCATCTAGGTACTTCTTGAAGTGGAGTCATAGTAGTGGTTAGCATTACACTTACTTGATTTAGTGTAAAATCCTCAAGGTTCACCCATGCTCTGGCATGCATCAGAAGCTCCTTCCTTTTTCAGGCCCTGTAATATTCCACTGGGTGTGCACCCTGCGTCCTGTTTGTATATCAGTGCATGATCCACCCTGGCTTGCTTCCACCTTTTGGATGCCATGAGTTGTACTGCTATGAATATGGGTGTGCAAACATCTGGAGTCCTTGCTTTTTTTAACTAATTAATTAATTAACTAACTAACTTATTTTCAGTTCTGAGGATTATTTGTTTTGTTTTGTTTGTTTTTTGACAGTGTTTTGCTATGCAGTTTAGGCTGGCCTTGAACTCACTTTGTAGCCCAGGCTGGCCTCGAATGCTCAGCAATCCTCCTGCCTCAGCCTCC